CTTTCCTTCACACCCACTGCTCTGGGCTGCACGCGGTTCAGCTGGGGCTGTCTCCGCGCCAGTTTCCGGAGGTGGGCTGTGACCCAGGCTTCTCAGCTTGTTCTCGTCCCCAAGGATGGGCTCCTATCTCAAGTCCTTCTGATGACATCCTGAGTACATTTGGACTTCTCAGTTTGTGAACAAGTGATTTTTGTTTGCTCAAGTGAGCTTGTTAGAGTTCTGTCACCTGCAGACGGGCTTCTTTAACAACCCTTCTCTGCACACGCACACCCGCCCCCAGCCCAGGAGACCCACTGACCTCTTATTAACTGTTGGGGTGGAAGAGGGCAGCTGTTGGATGGGAATTTTGATGGATAGGCTGGGGGGTGGTTGTGGGCCCGGGTGGGAGGCTCCTAGGGGTAACCTGGGGCAAGAGAATGCTGGGTGTGTGTGGGGGGGTGGGGGATGGAAAGGGATGGTGAGAAGGTACCTGAGAGCAGCCTCATTCCGTCTTCACTGAACCTGAGATCCAGGCTCAGCCTTCCCCTGGGTCCTGCAGGTAGTTTCAGAATCACAGAACTGCCACGTGCCAGCACTGGGAGATGCCTTGGAGAGTGTCTAAGCCCCCTCCTCATTTTCTAAAGGAGGAAACTGAAGGGAGGAACTGTCGTTATCCCACAGCTACTCTGGGGGGAGCTGAGGAGACACATGTATAAATACTGGAACAGCATCTGTGCGGTTGTCACGTGATTCTGGAGTCATACAGGCCTGGGTTTGGGTCCCAGCTCTACCATAACAGCCACTGTCCTTAGGTTTTACTTAACCTCTCTGAGTCTGTTTTATCATCAGTAAAATGGGGATAGTAATAAACTCCGAAGGTTATTAAAAAGATTGACAGAGATTTTACATATAAAAAGCTTAGCTTTGTGCCCAGCACATAGTAAGTACTTGAGAAATGTTAGCTGCTATTTTTATTACTCATGCAATCCAAAAGATGAGGGGGCTGACTGGGGACTCTGAGTCGTCTCTCTGCTCAGCCTTGAGAACTCTTGAGAAGGAACGGAAGGGGGCCTGAGAGGGGCTGAAAAGCCAGGCATGAAGCCTGGCAAGAAGGCTGTGGGTTCACAGGGGAGGTGACCCCACTGGGGACCTGGGGCCATGAGAGAGGATCCTCCTCGTCACACTCAGATCAGTGGTGAGCCATCGGTAGAGGGAAAGCTGGACATTCCCCAGAAGGGACCACTACACCACCTGACCCTGTTCAGGCAGTTCCTCAATACAACTCCTGGATCTGGAGAGAACCCAGAGACTAAAAGCTCACCCCCACAGGGAGTTGCCTCTGGTGGGAGGCTTGGGGGAAAGATCCCTCAGCAGGTGTTTTTTTGAAGCACAGAGTTGCAGGGTCCTGGTTGAAGGGTGCAGGCAGTGGCAGGAAGGGGACGTGGTTTCGTGGGAGGTGGCGTCAGGGGGAAAGGCAAGCACGTGAAGGGAGAGGCCCTGGAGCAGGGGTGGGAGGAGGCCGGGATGGGAGAGACACTGATGACCTGTCATCCCTGGTAGAAACAGAGAGCTGGAGAGCGGGCTGGGCACTCTCTGGGGGCCATGGCACTGGCAGGAGCCAGGGGCCACTTGCAAGAAGCAAGGAAAAAGCAGAACTTGTTGTTTGTGGGCACACGTGTGTCCCTCATCCCAGCCTCTCCCGCTTCCCTGGCAGCCCTGTGCAGGTCTCCAGCTGCCCCGCAGCCAGCCATCCTGGGGAGCCGGTTCTGAAACCACAGCCCCACACCCCTCCCTGTCCTCCCTCCCTCGGGCTGCCCCAACCTAAACAAGACAACTTGGGCAGGGGGGCCACACGCTGATGGAAAAATACACACTTGGCTGGAAAGGAGCTTTATTTTTGTGTGTTGAATTCCCGCAGCAGCCGAAGGATAAATAGCTGGTCCCCAGCCACAGCTTAGAGACTGTCCACAAGGTGGGTGGTAAAGTCTGTTCCTATTTAGACAGCTTTGGGGAGCGGTGGGAGGGGTCGGGGCCGCAGGAGAAGGAGCTTGGAATCTGCAGTGCTTACAGGATCAGTCACAGAGGTCACCTCTCCTGTTAATTAGGGGTCTGGAGCTGAGGAACTTCGCTCCACTTTCTTGTCGTCGGAACAGAGCGGCGAGGAGGCAGGGGCGGAGCAGCTCTTTGGGCCCACCTGTGGCTGGACTGCCGCCTCGTCCCCCCCCAGGCCCCTGCTAAGCACCCAGTACACGTCAGCACTGTGCCAGGCCCGCTCTGGGCGCTTTCCGCCGTGACCTCAGTGCTCACCACCATCTCCTGAGTGAGGCACCATCTTATCCCATCCTACAGGAGAAACTGGAGCGTAGAGACTGAGGAGCGCGCTGAAGTTGGTGTGCTGCGCTGCTGGGCTGGAACGCCTCTCCTGACCCCAGCATCCATGCCTTTAGCCCTTTCCCATCCTTCCTCGGGCTAGGAGCAGAGACCTGGGCTTTTCTTTCTCATTTTCACTTCTCTTCTCCAGCCCGTCCTCTGTACTTGTTATGTCAGAGATGGATGGATGACTTCTAACAACTTTAAGCTCTGGTATTTCTCGCAATTAGAGAGGAGTCCCTTGGAGCCACTATATCTCCAGCACCTGGAGTCAGACAACATGCACAGAATGAATGGACACGTTTTCAGATAGGGACAGGTGCTGTGAATAAAACCAGTCAGAGTACTGGGCTCTGGGTGGCTCAAGGCACTCCTTTAGAAGGGACAGATAGGACTTTCTGGGCGGCTCCTTTGAGCTGAGACCCTCAGGGACAACGTAGAAGGCAGAGGGGACAGCATACGTGAGAGCCCTGGAGCAGGAATGAGCCAGGTGTGTTCAAGAGATTGGAGGTAGCCGGCGTGGCTGGAGTGTGGTATATGAGGGGTAGAGGATGCGTAGAGGGAGAAAGCAAGCAGGGGCTATGTCGGCTATGTCAGGGGCTTGTGGACCAGGGAAGACTGGATTTTTTTTCTCTAATTGCAAAAAGAACACCACTTGGAGGGTTTTAAAAAAAATGTGGCTTTTACATCATCACAAGATTATTCTTGCTGCTGTGAGGACTGTAGAGGGTCAGGCTGGAGGCAAGGAGACAAGACAATGGCTGTGACTAGCGTACATGAGAGAGGATGGACTCGTGTTAGAGGGGAGGTGGTGAGAAGCAGCTCGTGGAGCTGACCAGACTTGGCAGTAGACTAGTCGTGTGCGGTCTGTCCCATAGGAGGTGCTCCTTTCCTCCAACCATTCCCCAAATCCATCTCTCGGTCCACAGCTGGGCTCCACCCTGACCAGTCAGCACAAGGCACTTCCTTGGCCACAGCAATTGCTTTCAGGGTGGTCCAGTCACAGGAACCTTTGTTCCCTGGCCTGCTGGATGTAAGAAAGTACATGACCCTGACTGCTGCTGGTGGTCATTCTCAGAGGGGAATAAGCCTGAGAAAACAGCCCAATGGAAAGTTGTCACCCTGGGGGCAGATGGAGAGACCGAAATCCTGAATCCACCATCCAGATGCTCCCCCGACCCCTAGGCTTCCCCTTTAGTAGGTGGAAGGCAAAGAACCTCCCTCGTTCTTATCGCCAGTCTAAGCTGGAGCTCACTCACAATGAAAAGCATCCCAGGTGATATACTAATGGCACCTAGGAACCCCAAATCTGACTTAATACACGTAGGGAGACAAGCCTGAAATAAAATTAACTCCCGGGCTTTCAAGAGAATGGTAACTCATCTTGACAAGTAGGTTCAGGAATTCTGTAGCAGTCGGAAATTTATGAAGTAGGGAATACAAAGGAAACTTATATTTTTGGTTTATGCCATCAACTGTCATTAATAAATTGTATAAATTCAAACTTCTTGTCTTCTTTGCCACAAGTCCAATACCACACATATCCTATGGCAGGCTGCTACTGAGTGATACAGGGTACTTCGTAGGTGGATGAACGGAAACTGCCGATTCAGAGATGCATTTTCCACGCATGGTGCTTAGCCCAGGTAGAAAATCACTGCCCTGGGATAGAACTGCTACGCTGGGCTGTGGACAGCACTTTACAGTCTTTATTTCTCTTCATGGGCAGTCCTAATGTCTACATTCCTCAAAGTCTTTCCCTCAGCAGGGGCAACCTCTTTTCCACTTCAACTGATTTCTGCTCAAATCTGTTTTCTCTGGCATCTAAAGAATAATAAAGTCCAAGTGTATTATAATCATGAGTAGGGGATTCAAGTTTGGCACCCCGTTGTTCATAGTAGTACTTGCCATGAAATGAAGCTAGGGACAGAAAGGGATGGTAAAAGTCCCTATTTAAACGTATGTGTCTATTTGGTTAATCCCATGTCTGATTCCTCATCATTATATACTAAAACACTAGCACAATACTCACCACACAGTAGGTGTGCAATAATTATTTGTTGGACAAATGAAGTTGTACCCCAGTAGTTCCAACCAGCTATGTAAATCACAAAACGTGAATGCTGCAAAAAAACCAACAAAGGCACGTTACTTTATTCCCACATTGTGACAGGACTTCTGGAAACCTGGAGTCCCTGAAAGCCTGGTGGTAACTGAACTGTCTCTAACAGCTATCTTACACCTATGTCAAACATTCAGTGTCCCTAGTGATGTTGGCAACTTGGCAAAATAAAAGACAACAATTCCAAATATTTTAACATTCTTATTGTATAGCTCTCTGGTCAGTCTGCTCCCAGAGACACATTCAGGATAAACACATACTCAAAATTAGATGATTATTTATTTTTCAGGTCTAAAAGGCTTCCAAATATGTAGTAGAAGCCAAATAAAACAATCCTCAGAGAATCAATGTAGAGCAGAATACATAAATATACAAGGTCTGTTTTATAGGATACAAAAATGATAATGTCATCAAATACAAAGAAAAACATTCAAGAAAGGTAGGCAAATTAGCCCATCTTGGCAAAGAATAGATTAACTAAGATGGACCAGGACAGACATCAGGACATCCTAAACATCAGGACAGACATCCTAGACATCAGGACAGAATTTCTTCTCTATGCCTCCCAGCTGCGTGGCTTTCCTCTTCTGGGCTGTGTTGGGAACTTCTGAGCCACCCGCCTCTGGTGCATTATCAGGCATCTCTTCTTCATCAGCCTAAAAAGGAGCAGATAGGGTAAAATACAACAAGGCTCACGCAGCGCCAGGGTGGAGAACAATGAGGCTCTGTCATGTTATTTCCAAGCACGTCTTTGTTGCCTCTTGTATATATTCCCTCTAAAAGCACCTTCCTCAGTCTTTTGTACAGTCACATGCTGTATAACGACATTCCGGTCAATGACAGACCACATACATGAGGTGGTCCCACAAGATTAATACCATGTAGCCTGGGTGTGTAGTAGACTACACCATCTAGGTTTGTGTAAATACGATGTTCACACAACAACGAAATCACCTAAGGATGCATTTCTTAGAAGATGGCCCTGTCGTTAAGCGACACATGACTGTATTTTAATTTTTTATTTCTTTTCACAAGTAACATATAACTGCTACTTAACTCAGTCTGAAAGATGTTATAACTCAGCAAGAACCAGAATGTGTTAATCTCTATGTTCCTGCAATTTGTATTTTGTTAAATGAGGAAACCCTATCAACTTAAACTGGGCAAGTTTTTCCTTCCCCTTTCTTCCATGAAGGGTGTTGTACGAAATGTCAATTTTCCCCTCTCCTCTACCCCTCTCACTCCTTCCAGATTCCTGCCAACTGTCCCTTCTCAGTACTAAAAAAGAAAACTTAGAAAAAAGAATGAGTCACCTTTCATCTCTCTATACTACTACCCCAAGAACATGAAAAAAATTAAGTGAATGCTGCCTGCCCCCTAGTTGCTGTCAACAGATGATAACCGTCAGGAAAAAGTCTACTGTTGGCTGAGCTACTAGGCTATTCTGCTGAATAATTATTTAGAAGGTTGCAATACGGAGAAAAAGATTAACTAGCCATTCCAGAGTATCTAGTAAACAATTACGCATCTATACATACACACTCATGGACTAACAATAGTCACAAAATCAGAGCTGTACAAATATCATACCTTCGGCTTCTGTCTTGCATGCTTCTCTGTCCACTGCCTGGCATTCTTGAGGAAGACTGGCTTATTATATTTAAATTCTGAGGACTGGGATGAAATCAGAGAAAAGTGAATGGACAGAGAACAGATTTGCAGTGGTGAGCTCCAGCTGCTACCACTGTCCTCATGAACAGAGTCAGAGGCAGAGAGAAAGCAGGATGTGTCACAGAAGAAGTGCAGATACTCACTATGTCAGCCATGAGCGGGTCGTCAGGGTTGGGCTCTGACATGAGCAGCTGAATGGAAGTCAGCACAGTTGCAATGTTGAGGGATGGTCTCCAGGCTCCCTGCACAGACAGACAGGTAGCTGCTTTTGTCTTACCAACAACGTGATACTGGAATTCAGGTTTTATAGACGAGAACCACAGAGTGCTGTAGTCAACCCCTGACCCAACACTCACTTTGGGCGGCAGTTTGAGAATATCGAGACATATCCTTCCAGCAGAATCAATGTTTGGATGATAGATTGGAGTTAGAAATCGGATCTGAGGAGGTTCAAATGGGTACCTGTGAAAGCACAGGACAAAAGGGGATTTTCACTGCAACATTGCTGATTAATACATACAAACAGCTTCCTGGTATCTAGTCAGGAAACCAGTCTTTGAGAGGCAAACCTTTTCTCTCTCCAAATTTTTATTACGAAACTTTACAAACAATAGAAAAGCTGAAATAACAGTATCAAAAACATTCATATACCCACCACCTGATCAAGCCGCCGCCTCACCCTCTAAATTCTTCAGCATGTGTCTCCTAAGAATAAGGTCCTTCTCCCATATACCTGTAATACTATCAGTATACCTGTGAAAAAATGACAAAACTATTCCCCAATATCACCTACTATTCAGATTTCCTCAACTGGCCCCCCAATTTTCTTACAGATGGGTTTTAAAACCAGGATCCAATTAAAACTATACATTGCATTTGGCTATTATGTCTCTTGTGGAACACAAACCTTGGAAAATCCCCAGTCCATTTTCAGAACTGATGCACCACATGATTATTAAGCTACTTCACTCAGGACTTTACCAAGTGTGGCCAGGATCTGACCTGGTGAATAGATGTCTACATTTCAATGGCTGGACATTCATTTCTTTCCTTCCCCATTCTGCACAGAACTCCAACAACTACCACTCACTCGGTGAGAGCCTTAAAGGAGACGTGAATTAAAAGGGGACTTAACATAGCAACAGAAAGCAGAATGGTAGTCACCAGGTGCTGGGGGAGGGGGGTTGGGGAGTTACTGTTTAATGGGTACGGATTTTCAGTTTGGGAAGATGAAAAGATTCTAGAGATGGCTGCATAACAATGTGAATGTCTTTAATGCCACTGAACCATATACTTAAAATGGTTTAAATGGTCAATTTTATGTATATTTTATCACAATGAAAAAAGCAGGGGCCTTAAATATGATCTAGCTCAATTTTAGAGAAGGAAACCGAACTCCGGAGAGATATAACAACTTGCCTAAGGTCACATTAAGTCATGATAAGACAAGGATTAAAATTCGGGTCCTTTAATGCCTACATTTAACACTCTACTACACCTCTCTGTCTTCCAATAACTGTGCTTTACCTTGTGACTTTAGAACCTAATTCACACTAACCTCTCAGGAACGATAACTTCCAGCTTGAAAACACCTTTTTCATAAGGTGTGTTGGCCCCACCTAATATTTCTTAAAAAAAAAAAAAGAAAAAGTTAAAAGGGAATTGGATGATTTGAATTTCCACACCACATGGACCTCGTGAGGTCTGTGGTCCTAATACAGAAGCTGAGTCTAGGACAAAAATTCTCTCTCAGGGCTTTAACAAATCCTCATGCAATGCACCACTCTACCTAACAGTTGATGGTGTCAGTGAAGGGCACACAGAAGATCTGAAACAGAAGTTGGAAGAGGCTGGCGGCAGATCAGATACCAGCTGCAGATCTGTTTTGTTTGGCTGCAGTATTCTAGTCATTTCTGTTTCCTCTCTGGCCTCACAGATATTTGAGATGGTGATCTTTGGTCTAAACACTGTTTCAGAGCTGATGCCCAAGCTCAGCTCTTGGCTATAAATCAGCAGAAAGTATAATAAAAGGCCCAAGAAGAAATGTCAAGCCAACCTTTCATAAATGTAAACAAATGAGGGCAAATGAGGATGGTAGGGCACTGTGACCTTGGGACTGTTCCCTGCTTTGCAAGAACATACAAATGTTCAAAAGCACAACCTTCAGTAGGGTCATGACTCATCACAGGCTTGATGTGATACTTACGAGCTCGCAGATCATCCATTTGGTCCTTATCTTGCCAGCACGAGATGCCTGGGGGTGGTTCTGTGGCTAACAGGTTCAGCTCTCTCTTCAGACGTGAAGCTCTCTGCATGATCCTCAGGTAAAAGGAACCACACACAGTCCACCGCTCCACACCAAGAAGAGCTTGCTGGGTTTCACTAGGGAGAAAGGGGCAACCAGGAAATGGTCAGCAATAGTGACCTGAGTTGTAGCACACGGCTACAATTGAGTGAAGGTTAAGCAGATTCCTCGTATTAATCCCTATTCTAAGAAAGGAGTCTGCGTTTTTTCCATTTCCTTCTTGTTATCTAGTCAAGCAAATAAATTTTAAAAATAAAGTATAAAAAATGCAAAAAGTCCTACAAACAACAAAATCTATGTTTAAAATTTTGTGTATGCGTGTGAGGAAGATCAGCCCTGAGCTAACATCCATGCCAATCCTTCTCTTTTTGCTGAGGAAGACTGGCCCTGAGCTAACATCCATGCCCATCTTGCTCCACTTTATGTGGGATGCTGCCACAGCATGGCCTGACAAGTGGTGTGTTGGTGCATGCCCGGATCCAGACCTGGGCCGCCAGCAGCGGAGCACGGGCACTTAACTGCTACGCCACGGGGCCAGCCTGCTTTGTTGTAAATCTGTTTCCACTGATAAATTATAAACTCACGAGGCAGAGCCTGGCTCTCATTTTGCTTGCCACTGCATCCTCAGCATGCCTGGCACAGAAAAGGACTGGACGAATATTAGCTGTGGAAGTCTACGTATGCTTTGTGAGGAGAGCAAGGAGAATGATACAGAGACAGTCAACACTCCGAGATACAGTTATGCATCACTTAATGATGGGATACATTCTGAGAAATGCGTCGTTAGGCGATTTTGTCATTGTATGAACATCACAGAATGTACTTACACAAACCTAGATGGTACAGCCTACTACACACCTCGTCTATACGGTGCTAACCTTACAGGACCACCGTTGTATGAGATCCATCGTTGACCAAAATGTCATTATGCAGCACATGATTGTATTTATAAGCTAAAGCTTAAATGTCTGAGGTGCTCTCCATGTATTTTGGATTCCATAAATCCTCCCAATTCTTCAAAGATCCCACTCCATCGACTAATTCATCTTCCTCTAGTATTTCCAACCTTTCCTTCTTCCCATCAACAAATATGCTCAAAATCTCTCTCATCTAAAACAAACCCCAGACACAAACCCACTCACACCCTTCTCAGCTCTAGTTCTTCTCCCAGCAACTACTCAAAGGACAACTTTTTCATACATGAGGCACAAATATCATCTCCCAGTTTGTGGCTTGTCTTTCCACTTTACTCCTGGTGTCTTGTGATGAACAAACACTCTTAATATTAATGTAATCAATTTTAAAATCTTTTCCTTTACATTTATACTTTTTGTGTATTAAAATTTTCCTTACCCCCAAACTTAAAGATATCTTCCTACATATTCTTCTAAAAGTATTATAATTTTGCTTTCCCATTTAAATCTTTAATCTACCAGGAATTGATTTTTGTGTATAGTATGAGTTAGGGGTCAATTTTCATTTGTTTTCCCATATGAATAACCAATTGTCCTAGACTTATTTATTGAAAAGTCCATCCTTTCCCTGCCGATATTGTCATAAATTAAATTTCCATACCTGTGGATATGTTTTGGGATTCTCAAATTTGTTCCATTGGTCAACTGATTATCCTTGAGCCAGTATCCCACTGTTTTAATTACTGTAGCTAATTAATAAGACGTGATAAATGGTAAGTTGAGTTCCTCCATCTTGTTCTTTTTCTTCAGAAATGTCTTGGTTACTCTTGGTCCTCTGCTCTTCCAAATAAATTTTAGAATCAGCTCATAAAAGTCCACAGACACAGGGGCTGGCCCGGTGGCGCAAGCAGTTAAGTGCACGTGCTCTGCTGCATCGGCCTGGGGTTTGCAGGTTCGGGTCCCAGGCGCGCACCGACGCACTGCTTGGCAAGCCATGCTGAGGTGGCGTCCCGTATAAGTTGGAGAAAGATCGGCACTGATGTTAGCCCAGAGCCAGTCTTCCTCAGCAAAAAAAGAGGATGTTTGGCAGATGTTAGCTCAGGGCTCATCTCCTCACACACACACACACAAAAAGTCCACAAATATATATATACATACACACATAGAAACCTGTTGTGATCTGGATTGTATTTACACTGACTACAGATCAATTTGAGAACTGACATCTTTATGACATTGGGTCCTATGATCTACAAACATGATATGTTTAGGTCTCTTTTGATGCTTTTCAATAGTTTTATAATTTTCTCTATAAGGGCTTGACTTTTGTTAGATTTATTCCTAAGTATTTTATATTTTTGTTACCTTTTTAAAACTCTATTTTCTACCTATTTCTTATTGGTGTGTGTAAATATAATTGATTTTTAACCAAAATCTTAATGCTAATGATGAATTCATCTGGGCGGTGGAGGTAGGGATGGTAATGCTGCGTGGCCAGTCATATCATCTCCAAATAATCAGTTATTTCTTCCCTTCTAATCCTTTTCCCACCTTCTATTCTGGCTAAAACTTCCTGTACAATGTTGAATAGAAGAGCTGATAGCTGGGATTCTTGCCCCTTTTCTAACCTTAAAAGGAAAACTTTTAACACTATGCTTATGGGTTAAGACTGGCCTATAATTCTAATTTTGTCTTTGTCAGGTATCAAGGTTATGCTAGCCTCCTAAAGTGTGTTAGGGAATGCTGTCTCTTTTTACATACTGTGGAATAGTCTGGGAGATGATTTGTTCCCACGATGCTTGGCAGAACTCCATCTGGTACTAGTGTTTCCAATGTGAGATTTTTACCTACAAATCTAACTTCTTTAAATATTAGAGTATTATTCAAGTTTTCTCTTTATTCTTGAGTCAACTTTGGCAAGTTTTTCCATAAATTTATCTATTTCATCCAGTTTTAAATTTGTTAATAGTTACCTTTTTAATCTGTGTAGCATCTGTACTTATGCTTTCATTTTCATTTCTAATATTGCTTATCTGTTGCATCTATTTTTTTCTCTGATCAATCTTGCCAGGCATGTGTCCATTTTACTAGTTTTTGCAAAGACTATTTTACAGTTCCTCACTGTTGGAAATTTATTTTCTATTTCAATTATTTTTGCTATCTTTTCCATCCTTCTACTTTCTTAGTTTTTTTCCTTTTTCACTTAGGTTGTATGCTTAATTTTTCATTTTTCTTTTTAATTGTAAACATATGAGACATTGCCTTCTAAGTACCACTGCACCCCAAAGTTGTGATGTATAGAATATTTATTCTTCCATTCTCAATGTTTTCTAATTTCCATCATGATTTCTTTAGGAACAGGTTTCTTAATTTTCAAACATGCAAGGGCTTCCTAGTTATATGTTATTGATTTCGAATGTCGTTTTTGATATCTTTTGTAATTTTTTGTCCTGCTTTATTGCAAAATACGAGTCAATTTTCATAAATGCCCCATGTGTGCATAAAAAGAATGTCTATCACAAAGTTACTAGGGGCAGGGTCCTATATGTGCCCATTAGAAAAGCCTGTCAGTTGTTGTTCGAATCTTGTGCATCCTTACTGATTTCTTCCTCCTAGGTGATTTATCAATTATTAAGAGTGATGTTTAACAGATGGATCATTCTGATGTGAAATCTCTAATTTCTCCTTGCAGTTTCGTCAATTTTTGCCTTATATATTTTAGGCTAGGCCGTTAGATACATAAAAGTTTAGAATTGTTACATATTCCTAGCAAATTATAGTTTTTTTCATTATTAGAGAACACTCTCTCCTCTACTAATGCTTTTTCCTTAAAGTGTATTTCATATTAAAGCTCTCCCAGCTTTCTTCTGGTTTGTATTTGCTTGGGATTTTGTTTTTCATTCTTTTATTTTCAACCTTTCTGTATCTTTAGGCTTTAGATGTACCTCTTGTATATGGCTGGGTTTTTAAAACCCAGTCTTCAAATCTTTATCTTTTAACTGGTATATTTAATATATTTACATTTATCAATACTAGTTATCTACTGCTGTAAAACACAAAACTTAGTGAAAGAAAATAACAACTGTTTTATCTGTTCATAACTCTGTAGGCAGCAATTTGAGCTGGGCTCAGCTAACAGTCCTTCTGTTGGTCTTGCCTGGGGTTCTTTACGTGGTGTCAGTTATCTGGAGGCTCTAGTGGCAGCTGACTGGACTAGGAGGTCTAAACTGGGGCGGGTCATCTCTATTCCACCTTTGACGGCAGGGCTGGCAAAGTCATACTGCAGAGGGGCATACAGAGTTGGGAGGAATTATGGACATCTTTGCAAACAACCTACCACATCATAATTACTGATGTACTTAGATTTGTTCCTACATCTTATTTTGTATTTTCCACTTGTCCTTCTTTTTCTAATTTTCTTTCTTTTTTTTTTTTGTGAGGAAGATCAGCCCTGAGCTAACATCCATGCCAATCTTCCTCTTTTTTTTGCTGAGGAAGACTGGCCCTGAGCTAACATCTATTGCCAATCCCCTTCCTTTTTTTCCCCCAAGCCCCAGGAGATAGTTGTATGTCATAGATGCACATCCTTCTAGTTGCTGTACGTGGGATGCCACCTCAGCATGGCCAGAGAAGCAGTGGGTCGGTGCGCACCCGTGATCCGAACCCGGGCCACCAGTAGCGGAGCGCACGCACGGAACTGCTAAGCCACGTGGCCGGCCCCTCTAATTTTCTTTTTCTCTTCTTTTGGGCTGATTTATTTTCTCATTCCATTTTCCCCCTCTACTAGCTTGGAAGTTATAAACCATATTTGTATTACTTTGACAAATTATCATATAGATTTTAACGTGCATATTTAACTTATCAAAGTCTAAGGTACCAGTACCTTTATCCTCCTCCCAAACAATACAAGGACATTGGAATGATTGAACTCTGATCACACCCTAGACTTTTGACTTACACGGTTTTGTATTTAATTCTACCATTTTCTTTAAATCCAACAAAGCACTGTTATTATTATTTTATATAGCCAAAGTTTAAGAAGTACTGGGTGAAAAATTTCCAAATATAATTAAAAAAGAAATAACAACCTACAGACCCAGAAAGAGCAGTGATATCCAAGCAGGATAAATACAAAGAAAACCACACCTAGGCATGTCAG